ACAGAACTTTTCTGAATTTTCTGAGGCAGAATCATTTCTTTGTTTTCTTTGATACCACAGCACTTTTTTGCACAAGAAGTGTTGGTAACTCCTTTTGGGATTGTGACAGCAGTGCCTGGGCCTGACTGGATTAAGTGGGTGAGGGAATGTGAGGAAAGGAAGTTATGAGAGGACTAATAGACATTTAGATTGGAAAGACTTAGAGTGTGACTGAAGAGGGCTGAGTGCCAAGTTAGTGTGCACTTCACTCTGGTAGTTAAAGGGTACATTGAAAGTTTTTGAGCCGAGATGTAACATGATTTCCCATTCCAGCCATTGTCTTGTTTCTCTATTCCCTTTCACAGCAAAATTCCACTAAAGAACTATTTGTATTTGCTTTCTTCAGTTCCTAACCTCTCATGTTCTTGAAACACACTGTCGTCAGACTTGAGTTTCCTTTCCGCCTTGCTTCAGAGACAACTCTTGTCAGAGTCACCAGTGATTTCCATGTGGTTACATCTAGTGTTCTTAGTTTTCATCTGTCTCGCTTTCTCAGTATTTAGTTCCATTGATCTCGCTATCTTCCATGAAGCGTTTTTTACTTGATTTCTAGAATACCATATGCTCCTTAGTTTCCTCCTAACTTCATAGAGTTTTTCTTCTCTTCCCGGATCACCATTTTTTCTAGATCTAACTGTGAAGCAACTGAGGATTCGGTCCTAGAGTCTAACTAACCTCTTCCCTTTCTATATTCTGCTGTGGTGGTCCCATCTACTCTCGGGCTTATTGCCATCTAGAAGTGGTCAGCCTAGACCTTGTTCTTGAACTTCAGGCTTATATGTTGAGTGGTCTACTCAACAGTTCCCTTTACAGGTCAAAAAGATGACTTACCCCTCATGTCCAAAGCCAGGTATGATTTACCCTAGCATCTTACCCCAGGTGTGCTTCATTCCCAGCATTCCCAACTCAGTTGACTGCGACTACATCCTTCCAGTTGCTCAGGATCAATCTTTAACTCTTCTCTTGCTCTCACACCGTACATCCAATGAAGAAATCCATAATTTGTCTGCCTTTCACCACTTCTACTGTTTCCAATTTGTTCAAACCCCCATTATCTCTCATCTGAATGATTGCATTTATTACAGGATCCTTCTACCTTATACCTCAAAGGTCTGTTCTCAGTACAGCAACTATATTTGCAAAATGAACAAAAATTATGCATCAGTGTATGACTTTCCCACTATGAAATCGATCATTGTTTATACATATAGAAGTGTAATATATAAATGAAAATGGATACACAAAAGCCTTACTATGAGGAAACTCACTCAAAACCGATAGTGGTTTTTCAAGGTGAAATGAGTAGGATTAGGAAGGAGTCCTGTAATGGCGCTTTAGGTTAATGCGCTAGACTGCAATATCGGTTTGAACTGCAAGGGCAGTGGTTCAAGCTCACCAGCTGTTCCTCAGAAACCCTATACAGGGTTGTTATGGATTGGAACCAACTCGACAGCACTTAGCAACAACAAGAACAGGAAGATAAGTCAAGTTTTAGCTTTGTATACTTCTACATTTCTAGAGTATTTCCAAAATTAAGGTCTTATTTGCATTATTAAAGTAAGGAAATCAAATAATATAAATAAATTTCTTATAAAATGTCTTCTGACTTTTGTACAAAAGAGTTAACCAGTTGCTTATCCTTAGAAAGGTGTGTTTACCAAGGTTGGCCATTTGGGTTTCAGGAGGGTTTCCACCATTCATAGAACTGCTAGAGTGGCTCAGATGTGCCTAAACTATTTATGCAAACAATATGATTTATCCTGAACACTTGCTTTTCTTTTGGGAGTCTCAAATTTGGGTACTTGTCAGACAGAGGGTACCTATATGACCAGCTCCCAATAAAAATCCTAAACAGTGTCTGATAAGCTTCTTTGGTTGGTGACATATCACCTGTGTTGCAGTAATTTGGTTAAGCATATCCCATGTGATTCCACTGGGAAAGGACTCCTGAAAGCTTATGCCTAGTTTCCCCAGACTTCGCCCCATGTAGCTTTTTTCTTGGCCTATCCTTTAACTAATCATAGCTGTCTAAACGCCCAGTCTGAATCCTTCTCGTGAATCATTGAACCTGGGGTGATCTTGGGGATGCCCAACCCCAATTTTTTATGTAAGATTTGCCATTTTATTCCTTTTCTTCCTTGACCACTTCTTGGACAGCATTCATGATTTTAACCTTAAATATAATCTCAGTATTTAAAAATGAATAATTCATGCTTCTGGTCAGTTTTTGTTTTCTAATTTAATGATTATTTTCATGCCTATTCTGTCAGGTTTCACTCATTCTTATTTACACCGCTGTTTTCTCTATTCTGATTATTGTTTTTAAGTCCCGTTGAGTCGGTTCTGACTGATACATAGTGACCTTGTATAGGGTTTTCAAGAAGCGGTTTGGACTGCTGAAACAAACCTTGTGGTCCAGTGCTTATCCTACTGTGCCACACCAGGACTCCTTGTTCTGATTAGCTTATTAAAATTTTGCATTTTTTTTTTTCACTTTTTATAATGAAAGAATAGTATGAACACTCCTTGTAATTCTTGCCTTGATTAAACAGTTATTATTTTGCCATACTTGTTTTATTTAGGATAAATAAAATCATTTATATTTGTATAAAAATAGAATTTTAATTATGGAGTATTTTCAAGAATATAAAAAATTAGATTAGTTAATGAACCTCCTCCATGTTTATATCTTTATAAATACTACATGCTGTAGGATAAGCACTGGACTCCTAATCACAAGGTCAGCGGTTCAAACCCACCAGCCTCTCCTTGGAAACCCTACTCCGGGTTGCTGTGAGTCAGAACCTACTCGATAGCATTTAACCACAACAACCTCCTTATTATCACTCAATTTTAAGAATTTTATCAACTTCGGACCAACATTGCATTATTTGTTGTTACTTATTTTATTTTCTGGAATGTTTAAAGCAAATCTTAGGTATCATTTTCATCTATATGAAGGGACTTCAAAAAGTTTGTGGAAAAATGGAATTAAAAGATAATGAAGTTCCCCACAAAATTTTTGAAGCCCCATTTGTATATCCTTCAGTGTGTATCTGTAACAAATAAGAACTTGTAAATAAAAAGAAAAACAGATCCACAGTATCATTTTTACACCTAACAAAAATAATAATGATTATTTAAAATCATCTAACTAGTATTCCTATTTCTCCAAAGTCTAAAATGCCTTTTTATGTACGGTTGGTTGTAATAGGGTCCAAACATAATAGGTACCACACATTTCATTTGCTTGATAGATCAGTTAACCGTCTTTATTTCATAACAGTTCTCCCACACACCTGACTTTGTTAACTACCAAAAGCACTGTAAAATAATTGTGGACATAATATCAGTTCATCCCTAAATACTTCACTGCCCTTGTTGTTGTTGTTGTCAGGTGCCATCGAGTCGGAACCGATTCATAGCGACCCCATGCACAGCAGAACAAAACAATGTCTGATCCTGGGCCAACCTCACTACCGCTGCCACACTTGAGTCCATCAGTGATGCCACCTGGCTGATCCATCTCGTTGGGGGTCTTCCTCTTTTTCTCTGACCCTCCACCCTACCCAGCATGACATCCTTCTCCAACGATTGTTTCCTCCGGACAATATGTCCAAAGTAGGAGAGATGAAGCTTAATAAGGACTGCCCTTAATAAGGCAAATCTTCTCCTTTATTATTAAAATACTATGTTCATATTTAACACAATGAACACTAAATTAATCACCCAATATCTTACCCACATTAAAATGTCTTCAAAATATTTTTTGCAGCTGATTTTTTCAGATTAGAACCCATCTTGGGGGAATCCCTTGAAGTATCCTGATTTAAAGTAATCTCCCTTCACCTAATTAAAAACATCTTCATGAAATTGAGAGGTTGAAGGTTAGGTGCCACATATCCTAAATTTGAAGTGGTCTTACAGTCTTGGGCATATAAAAGGCATTGTGTTTGGGGTCAACTCTGATAAGAATTCTTAGTTAGATGGAGCTCCCACCGGCCTCCCTCCATTTCTACCTCTACCTCAAAGACTACACTTCCTAGAGACTACTCTAACTACATCTGCTGCTGGTATCCCGATCCCACTCCTTGACCTGTGTAGCAGAAGTATTTCTGTTAGGAGTGTTTAGTCTACCACGTACACGTTCATGCTGACTGGAGGATACAGTTTCTGAGCCTTTCCCCAAGTCCCTCCAGGTTTCAGCTTCAGGCTTGGTAACATCCCTCAGTCTGTCAGCACTGTGTCAGCATGATGTTGGTTCATTGACATGCCCCCGTGATGGGCATTTCACACACGGGGAAATAGCCTGGGAGAGACAAAGTAATTTCTTCAAGGTCTCATCTCACAGTAAGCAGTAGGCTTGAGACTCTGATTAACTTGGCCTCTCCTGAGGCATTCTGAGGTTTTTTGTCTCATTCCTCAAAAAATCAAACCTGTTGCTACTGAGACAGTTCTGATTCCTGTGGCAACCCCATGTGTTACATAATAGAATTGTTTCATAGGGTTTTCTTGACTAGTTTTTCTGGAAACATTGCCAGGACTTTCTTCTGCACTTCCCTTGAATGGGTTTGAACTGTCATTCTTTAGCAGCTAAATGCAAACTATTTTGCCACCCAGGGACCTCTTTTCTTTGTTAGAATATTCAAAATTAGTGACAAATTTACATAGTTGTTGGCCAGTGGGGACTTCACGCTCTGGCCAGAACATTGAGTAGAACTCATAGATTACCTAGCTCTCTGGACCTTTTTTTCAGGGTCCTGGTGGAAAACCATGCTGCATTGTTGTCTTTTACAAAACACTTCTATTCCCAGACATTGGCTGGAGATGATACTTGTTTTTAAATTCTTTTTTTTTTTCATGGAGAGTACATTTCCACTCAGGCGTCTCTAATTTTTATGTTCCCAGATCTACCGTTGGCACCTTCCCTTTCTTCAGGGAGAGTACCCACAGGAAAGGAAATGGCCACAGGACCTCTGAGAGCCAGGGATGAGGTGAGTATTTACTGAAATTCCATTCCCATGTCTAGACCTAGAGGCTGGCTTGGTAAATGAGATGTTCTGGAGGAATTACTTGTCTTACTTGGAGCCTCTCTCAGCATTTCTCTCCATTCTACTCATTACTCAGTCATTCACAAGTAGTTAACTATGACCGTAAAGATACGGGATTTCCATCTTCATTGCCCAGTAATGATATAGTTAGTGTCAAACACTACAGCAGACACTATTGGTCTTCAGGAAAGACTGCTAGTAAGAAAGGCTATCTGCAAAGTTCCTAAAGGAGTCCCCAAGTTGAAGAGTTGGAGGAAAGAGGGAACACAAGTGGAACGAAAGCAGGCAGTATAGTAAGTAGTGGATAGGCTGGACCATTGGGTGGACGGGCCTGGCCCCAATGTTGAAGTTTGTAGCAGCTTGCACAGATTATTTTATAAAAGGGAGAATGCTTATCAGTTGTCCATCTCATATATATGGTGAATGCCGCATGACGCATGCTTTACAATTACATGAGCCTTCAACGTTTAGTTTCCAAATATTTGGGTACTTTCCAAAGATGTCTTCCTGGTATTCGTTTCTGATTTAATTCCATTGTGGCCATTGAACATATCTTGTATGATTCAAATCGGTGTGAATTTATTGGTAATTGTTTATGACCCAGAATATGAGGGTCATAAAATTTATCTTGCTAAAGGTCTCATGTGCACTTGAAAATCCCACTGTCATCAAGTCAATTCTGACTCATAGTTACCCTAGAGGTTGGGCAGAGTAGGGTTTCTGAGACAATAGAGGTTTTATGGGAGCAGACAGCCTCATCTTTCTCTTATGGAGCAGCTGGTGGGTTTGAATGGCTCATTTTATGGTTAGCAGCCTAATGCTGAACCCTCTGTACCACCAGGGCTCTACTGTGTACTTTGATGCATATTTTGCAGTTGTTGGTGAAATCCTCTGCACATGTCAATTACTTGATCGTGTTTTTTCCAGTTTTCTATGTCCTTACTGTGCTTCTGTCTACTTGCTGTACTACTTATTCAGAATGTTGAAATCTGATGATAATTTTTGACTTGTTCTTGCACTTCTGTTTTTGTTTCATGTATTTTGGAGCTCTTATATTTGGTGTATAAATATTTAGGATTGTTATTTCCTTTTGATGAATTAATCCCTTTTTTTGTCATCATGAAATATAATACTTTTTATTCCTGGTAGTAGTCCTTGCTCTGAAATCTGCTTTATCTGGCAATACTATAGCTACTTCAACTTTCTTTTGATTGGTTTTTCCATGATATATTTTTTCTGTTCCTTTACTTTTTTGTTTTTTTAAAGTTTTTATTGTGAATTGAGTCATAGTGTACATGGGGGAACATCAGTTTCACACTCATCCTATCATATTTTGTTTCATTGCAATGATTACAGTCCCCTCCATGCATTGTCATTCAACAGTATTTGTTTCTATTTCCTGTTTTTTCAAATGTACACAAAAACACTTGGAAATATGTAATCATTTAAACAACCAAGCAAAGAGCACATTCTGCAAGCCTGCCTCCTAGCTGCCAGCACACAACCTTTCTCTTTCCATGAGTCTGGAGTCCTCAGATGCTCTATCTTTCGATGTTCCTTTAACTTCTCTGTTTCTTTATACTTAAGTGAATTATGAGCAGAATTTAGTTGCCTTTTTTTTTATACAGTCTGACAATCTCTGACTTCAAATTGTAGTGTTTGTTGTTGTTGTAAGTGCTGTTGAGTCTGTTCTGAATCATAGTGACCCTATTATAGAGTTTCCAAGGAGCAGCTGGTGGATTTGAACTGCTGTCCTTGTGGTTCACAGTCCTGTGCTGATCCTACAGCGCCATGCCACACCAGGAGTCTTAGAAATTGGATTATTTATATGATTTACATTTAATGAAGTTATTGTTATGGTTTTATTGATCTTTTCCACTTTTCTGCCTTCTTTTGGATTGAATATTTATCTGCTATATTAGCTGTAAGTATATGATGGGCTTTAAAACTGTTTGTGGAAAAGTTTTTCCCTGAACTTTTTGAAGCCCCCCTTTGAAGTTCCATACCCATACCTACCTTTGAGTTAATCTTAGATATATATTGTGTGGTGCCATCGAGTTTATTCCAACCCATTGGTGACCCCATGAGCAGAGTAGAACTGTTCCCTAGGGTTTTCTTGGCTGTAAACCCTGTGGAAGCAGGTCAGCAGGTCTACATGCAAATTTACTCCAATTGTGTTTTGATTGTATGGATCTCATGTGGTAGTAGTCTTCAGTTGAGGCTCATGAGTTCAGTATTCACTAACTTCTCTCATATTTTAAGTGTTTTTTTGTTTGTTTTTTTGGTGGCCTTGATAATTGAAGGAAGCTTAGTTAGATTTAAAATTTGTGATTGATGACTTTTTTTTTTTTTTTTTAACTTTTATTGTGAATTGGGTGAAGGTTTACAGACAAGATAATCATTACAAGATAGCTTTACATTTAACAAATTATATATTTTGTTTCCTCTCAGTAATTACAAAATCCCCTCCTTGTAACAACAAGTTAGCCTACTCCTCCCTGTGGCCCTCCATTTACATCTTATATTTCACAAACGAACAAAGCAAAAATATTTGATGTACACATACAAAACAAAAAATACACATTCATTTAAATGTCCAAAGGAGTCTTGGTATGGTACTGTGGGCTAATGCGTTAGACTGCAAGGTTGGTTTGAACCACAAGGTCGGAGGTTCAAGCTCACCAGCTGTTCCTCGGAAACCCTATACAGGGCCGCTATGAGTTGGAACTGACTCAATGACACTTAACAACAACAACAAATGCCTAAAGGGCACATTCTGCCAGCCAGGATCCTTCCCCTCAGGCACACAGCCTTACTCGGTCAGTCTTTGGGCCTAGAGCCCACAGTTGCTCTGTCTCTCCAAGCCACCGTCTATGCCACTGATCTGCTGTTGCCACTTTCCTAGGTACAGATCTCACAATCCACTCATGCTCTTCCTTCTTGATGGTCCTGGGATCATATGTTCCTGAAATTAAAGATTAACTACTCCCCCCTCTTAGTTATACATTAGCAGGATTGTGATACTAACAAGTACTCACAACTGAGTTATAAAATCCTGTCACCATCATTCGCCCCATCCCTCTTCCTGATTTGTTTAAAGATGCTGTTCTATTATTGTCTTGCTTTGCATGCTGTTTCTGAGAAGTTGGATGCCAGTCTTATTTTCTTGCCTGGTTATTTGACTTTTTGTTCTTTGAACATGATTGTACACAGCAGTTTTGAAGTCTTTTTCTGCTAAGTCCAATATCTTGGTCACTGAAATAATTTATATTTACTGCTTTTTCTCTGAGTATAGGTCCCATTTTCCTGCCTTTTTTGTATGTGGATGTTTCATAGTATTTTGCTGAACACTGGACTTGTTAGATAATATATTGTGATGACTCTGGAAATCTATTTTTTGCCTCTGAAAATAGTTGCTCTTGCTGCTGTTTTTCTTTTGCTGATTGTTTAGTAACTTGCCTGGAGTGTATCTTGAATATGTGTTTCCCCTGTGGTATGCAGCCGCTGAACTTCTGTGTTTACATCCCCTGTGGTATGTCTGCTGAACTTCTGTATTTATTTTTGTTTTTATTTTAAAACTTAACTTCTTGAGGGTGGCCGCTATGATTGCTGTACTAAAGCCCCGTGAGCAGGAATGCTTCCAGCCTCTGCTAATGGATATCTGTTTATTATCAGAAGGACTTTCTAAGTTCTTGTAGTTTAAATGTGCCTTGTTTTTACTTCCTGCCTTGTTTTCTGCACTTAGATGCTGCATGGCTCCTGTTTAGCCGGGAGAGTGTGTATGTTTTGGAAATTCTCTGGTCTCTACTGTATAGATGAGTGGAAACCTTATCAGGGTCTATTATGACTGTCTCATTTCCTCAATCTTTCTTTGAAATGTTTGGCTTGTCTGCTGGTCATTGCTTACCCCAAGAGGAATCATAGTCTCAGTCTAGCTGAGCTACTGGTCTCCCCTGTTCCTTTGATACCAGATTGCTACTATTTATGAAAAGGTTGCTGTGCATGGGTTTTTTAAACGATCCAGTCCAAATTAACTCTGTCCCCTCTAGCATCTAAGTAGTTGATTTTCAACCAAACCTGCCCTCAGCAAGAACAGCACAGTCTTCCACTCACCTTCCCTGAGATTTAATAGTTTTCTCAGGAATAACTATTTCTCAATTTTTTATGTGTCTTTAGTTGATTTCCAAAACTGTTATGGTTGTATTATCTATGTAAGTTTTCTATAATACAAAAATGGTCTAAAAAAATTACTTTGAAAAAGTGTGAAATTATTTATAAGTTAAATAACTATCAGTCCTGTTGTACAACTTCTCCATGTTTTTCTGTAAAGGCTCGTATCTATTTTCCATCCCCAATATTGTAAATCAAGAAAACATCAAAAATAAACAAACAAAATGTATCTAGACAAGTGATCTTAAGTAGTTTACCTGGGCTTTAAAATTTTTAATTTTTTTGGTACAAATATACACAGCAAAAGATAGATAATTTCAACCAAGTCTTCATATATGTACAATTTAGTGACATTCTGCAACTTGTGGAACCATTCTTGCTATCCTTTTCCAAATTATTCTACCATTATTAATGAGATGTCACTGCCCCCTAAGCTTGTTGTCTATTTGGTGCCACACAGGTGAATCTTTGAAAGAGCACAGTGCTCAAGACAGACATACTTTGCTAACTGAGCTAAACTGTTGTTTTGTTCAAAGCAGCTTTTGAGAAAAGTTTTTGATGTGAGATTTAAGTGTTAAAGATTATCTCAGGGCAATACTTTTAGGTCTTTATACAGCCACAGTAAAGAGTTCTGGTAGCATCAGTGGTTACAAATTGGGCTGCTACCCTCAGGGTCAGCAGTTTGAAACTACCAGCTGTTCCTCGGGAGAAAGATGAGGCTTTCTGCTCCCATAGATTTGCAGCCTCGGAAACCCAGTACACAGTCACTATGAGTCGGAACTGTCTCCATGGCACATAACAACAACAACAACAACATACAGTCTCAGTGGTCCCAGGTCTAGATTCTATTGAGAATTTGTAATTCTATGCCATTTTTGTCCTCCTTTCGATTAAGACTCTTTCATTGAACTTCAGATGAAAACATTCAGTAATGGTTGGGATTCCTAGTTCTCCTGACATATTGAACATCATTGGGTCTCTTGACTATATGTCGTTGTTGTTAATTGCCATTGAGTCAGGTCTGATTCATAGTGACCCTGTATGGGGTTTCCGAGGCGTGGTTGTTAAGTTTGAACTGCCAACCTCACGGTTCAAACCAACCTTGGGGTTAAGTGATTATCCTATGGAGCCATACCAGGCCTTCTTGTTAGGTGCCATCATTTTGGTTCCAATTCATAGTGACCCTATGCACAACAGAACAAAACACTGCCCAGACCTGTGCCATCCTCACAATTGTTAAGTGTCAGTTCATCTTGTTGAGTGATCTTCCTCTTTTTTGCTGACTCCCACTTTTCGAAGCATGTTGTCTTCTGAGGACTGACCCCTCCTGAGAATAAGTCCAAAGTTTCACTATCATCGCTTCTAGCTGGAACATTCTAGCTGTACTTCTTCCAAAACTGATTTATTTGTTCTTTTGGCAGTCCATGGTACTTTCAGTATTTTTCTTCAATTTCATAATTCAAACACATTGATCCTCTTGGGTCTTCCTTATTTATTGTTCAACTTTAACATGTATATGACCCATGGCTTGGGTAAGGTACACCTTAGTCCTCAAACTGACATCTTTACTCTTTAACACTTTAAAGAGGTCTTGTGCAATAAATCTGCCTAATACAATACATTGTTTCATTTCTTGACATTTGTGTCTATGAAAATTGATTGTGCATACAAGCAAAATGAAGTCTTTGACCACTATAATCTTTTCTCCATTTATCATGATGTTATTTATTGGTCCAGCGGTGAGAATTTTCAGTTCCTTTACATTGAGGTGCAGCTCATATTGAAGGCTGTAGTCTTTGATCTTCAACAGTAAGTATTTTAAGTCCTATTTGCTTTCAGCAAACAAAGTTGTAGCACCTGCATATCACAGGTTGTTAATGAGTCTTCCTCCAATCCTGATGCTATGTTTTTCTTCATATACTCCAGTTTAACAGATTATTTGCTCAGCATACAGATTGAATAAGTATGGTGGAAGAATACAACCCCAGTGCACACCTTTCCTAATTTTAAACCATTCAGTGTTCCCTTGTTCTGTATGCACAGCTGCCTCTTGTTTCTGGCATTATATCTGACAATATCAGTAATGGTAGCTGCATACTATCCATGTCTTTGTGGTCTCATGACATAGAAAGCTAGAAGGCAGATGTTCATGGTGGTAACTTGGCCCATTTTTTCCCTAAATGTCATAAAATACACAATATTTACCTTTTTAACCTGTTTTTAATTATTTTGGATATCCACATATGAGAGATATTATAGGATCAAGTGGTAAAACTTCTGGAACTACCAAATGGTTTTCCACAGTAGATATATCATTTTTTAAAATTATTATCAGTTGTTGTTGTTAGGTGCCATTGAGTCAGCACTGACTCATAGCAACCTTATGCACAGCAGAACGAAACAATGTCCGATCCTGGGCCAACCTCATTACTGTTGCCACACTTGAGTCCGTCGATGCTGCCACCTGACCAATCCATCTCGTTAGGGGTCTTCCTCTTTTTCTCTGACCCTCCATCTTACCAAATATGATATCCTTCTCCAGCGACTGTTCCCTCCTGACAATATGTCCAAAGTATGAGAGACGAAGTTTGGCCATCTTGGCCTTTAAGGAGCACTCTGGCTGCACTTCTTCCAAAACAGATCTATTGGTTCTTTTGGCAGCCTGTGTCACTTGTAGTATTCTCCTCCAAACACCATAACTCAAAGGCATCAATTCTTCTACGGTCCTCCTTATTCACTGCCCTGCTTTCGCATGCAAATGAGGTTATTGAAAATACCATGGCTTGGGTCAGGCATACCTTATTCCTCAAGCTGACATCTTTGATCTTCAACACTTTAAAAAGGTCTTGTGCAGCAGATTTGCCTAATACAATACATCGTTTGATCTCTTGACTGCTGCTTCTGTGAGTGTTGATAGTTGATCCAAGAAGAATGAAGTCCTTGACAACTTCAGTCTTTTCTCTGTTGATAAGAATGTTGTTTATTGGTCCAGTGGTGAGGATTTTTGTTTCCTTGACATTGAGATGTAATCCATACCAAAGACTGTGCTCTTTGATCTTCATCAGTAAATGTTTCAAGTCCTCTTCACTTTCAGCAAGCAAGGTTGTATCATCTGCATATCGCAGGTTGTTAATGAGTCTTCCTCCAATTCTGATGCCACGTTTTTCTTCATAGAACCTAGGTTCTCCTGTTATTTGCTTAGCATACAAGTTGAATAAGAATGGTGAAAGAATACAACCTTTCTTAATTTTAAACCATTCAGTGTTCCCATGTTTTGTTCAAACAACTGCTTCTTGGTCCATGTACAGATTCCTCATGAGTACAATTAAGTGTTCTGGAATACTCATACTTCGCAATGTTGTCCATAGCTTGTCATGATCCACACAACCGAAAGCCTTTGTGTAGTCAGTAAAGCACAGGTAAACATCTTTCTGATAATTCTCTGCTTTCAGCCAAGATTCATCGGACATTAGCCATGATATCCCTCGTTCCACGGTCTCTTCTGAATCAAACTTGAACCTCTGGAAGTTCTCTGTTAATGTATGATTATAGCCATTTCTGTATTACCTTTAGCAAAACTTTACTCGCTTGAGATATCAACGAAATTGTCAGATGATTTCCGTATTCCATTGGGTCAGTCAGCTCTCATTGGAATGGGCACAAATATGGATCTCTTCCAATCAGTTGGCCAGCTAGTTGTCTTCCAGATTTCTTGGCAGAGATGAGTGAGTGCCTCCTGTTCCGCCTCACTTTCTTGAAAGATTTCAAGTTTTATTATTATCAGTAGTTTATGAGAATTCTAATTTCTAGACATCCTCTGTTGGCTGGATAGGTAGGAGGTTAGTGATCTTAGAACACTTGGTATTACATTCAAAGCATGTTTAGAAATCTTATTTTCTCACTGGGCAACCTTTTTGCATTCTCTACCAAGCCATGAAGGAGCTGTGGTAGCGTAGTGGGGGTTATAAGTTGGACTGCTAACTGCAAGGATAGCAGTGTGAATCTACCAGACACTCTGCGGGAGAAAGATGAGGCTTTCTGCTTCCATAAAGATTTACAGCTTTGGAAACCCCATATAGGGTCGCAATGAGAACTGACTCCACAGCACACAACCACCACCACCAAGCTATGGGCAGGAGGGGCACCTGGATGAGCAGAGATGTGTTTTATGTTACAGGCATTTGTGGCATTCAGGGATGTGTCTGTGGACTTCACCCAGAATGAGTGGCAGCTGTTGAGCCCTGCTCAGAGAACCCTGTACAAGGATGTGATGCTGGAGAACTATATCAATCTGAGCTCACTTGGTAAGATGGACTTCACTTAAGACATAAATTATGCCTGTTGGGTATTCTAGGATATATGGTTCACCTGTTTTGCCAACTGACTTTTGGCTTAGGATTTAGGATGCATCAGCAAAGACATTCGTTTCCTTGCTACCTAAGGGAAAAGCTGGATTTTGAGTTGAAAATATGTAGATGTTTCCTGTTGTGTCTGATATCCTGAATTTCCTGTCCTATTTCCCTCAGCTAGAAGCTCTGGTAGCGTAGTGGTTACGAATTGGGCTGTGAACCACAAGGTCAGCAGTTCGAAACTACCAGCTGCTCCGCAGGAGAAAGAGGAGGCTTTCTGCTCCTGTAAAGATTTACAGCCTTGGAAACCCTGTTCAGGGTCGCTATGGGTCGGAACCAACTCGATGGCACTTAACAACAACAATAATTTCCCTCAGCTGGGTCTTTCTTTTCTGTCTGGTGAATGGATCTATATTCACTTTCCCTTTCTTGTTCCCCCACCACCATAGCTCAGTTTTCAGAAGGCCTTTCTGTTCTTATTTGGCCTCTACATGACTGTGGATTCCTGCAAAAAATGTTACCAACCATTCCTCCCACTGCACTGTATCTGGGTTTGATAATTCACTACAGTGGCCACACAGAACTCAGACACCATACTCACAGATAGGGGGTTTATTAAGGAAGTTAACTAGTTACAGTTCAGGGTCAGATATGATCTGGGTGCAGCTCTTCCAGCCAGGACAGTCTCACCAGCAGGCCTCTCTGCTTGGCCAATGTGAACAAAGCTCACTGTAGGCTGCTGATAAATGCCCACAGGAAGTTAACTAGTTACAGTTCAGGGTCAGATATGATCTGGGTGCAGCTCTTCCAGCCAGGACAGTCTCACCAGCAGGCCTCTCTGCTTGGCCAATGTGAACAAAGCTCACTGTAGGCTGCTGATAAATGCCCACAGGAAGTACCACTGCATCTTAAGCCTCAGCCTGAAGGCACTCTGCTCTAGCTCCATGGGTCAGCAAATCTAGCTCCCCCAATTAAGGCACCCCACTCTGTAAGCTAGCCTCCTGCCCAAAGTCACTCAGCTTTACTTGTTCCGGGGACTCTGTCTTGTATTCTGGTTTGGGGTCTGCTGCTGCTGCTACTCTACTACTCCTGTGGTGTCAAAGCTTCCTGTCCCTGGGTTGAGGCGGTTCAGTGTGCTCTGGACTTAAAAAAATCTCTTGACTCCTGGCTCTTCTTTGATGGTATCGAGAAGCCCTATTCTGACTTCTGAAATGGCTCATGTTATGCGTGTTGGAGTTTCAAGGTTTTACTATTACAATTAACTCTGTTAACCACTCACAACTGAATCATATAATTCTATCAGCATCTTCTCCCATCTTCTCATACTCAGACCCAGCAGAGCAAAAATGTTTGGTGGGAGTTACAAAGACTATGGGATAGAAAAGACATTAAATTGTTCAATACACTGCAGTTCCTAAGAGGCACCTAATTTTCTTTCCTTATGAACAGGAATATCATTTTCTAAACCAAAGCTCATCACTCAGCTGGAGCAAGGGATAGCACCCTGGATAGAAGAGAGAGAATGTATACTGGGCCCATGTCCAGGTGAGTAGGGAGGGAGCACAGGGTAGATGGCACATGCGCCAGCTCAGTAGGTGGGGAAGGAGAGGTAGTGTTTATGTGTACAGGGGAGGAAGCTCTCGTTTGGGCTTTGCAGGCTGCTGCTCAGGCTGTCTGGCACTGTCTCCATTCTAGACCTTTATCTTCAAGCAGTGGCTCTCTGTACATCCTTTGTCTCCTTTCCTTCCAGCTGGCTTGTATTTCCTAGAACTCCTCATTCATGGTTTCCATTTTGTTGTCCTGACCTTCTGAACAGCACCTACTCTGTGAGCTTATCTATGTCTGCTGCCAACTCCTGATCCTTCCATTTCTTTTACTTTTAACCTTATAAATCCTTCTTTGTTCATATTCCTACCTCTTCATCTCTGTTAGTTATTTTCTTCTTCTTTAACCACTTTAGAAATATTTAAGAATACAGGTAAGTTTGAAGAATGAACACCTATTTGGTAATCTCTAAGATTAATGTTTTAGTTAGGGTTCTCTAGAGAAACAGAACTAGTGAAAGATCTATCAATCAATTGATAAAGAAAATTTTATTTTAAAGAATTAGCTCATAAAACAGTGGGGCATGGCAAATTCATTTGTGTAGGTCAGGTGACAGGCTGAAGATTCTTGCAGATTTGTGTCTCAAAATCCATAGTTCACACAATGGGAAGAGAGTAGAATGAGGGATTTCTGGAGGCATGACACATACTAGAGGAACTCCATTATTGCTCTTGAGGCCTTCAACGAATTGATTGAGACCTACCCGCATTATGAAGGGTTAAATGCTTGCTTGTTAGTGAAAGGTTGGCAGTTTGAACCCACCAGCCGCTCTGCGGGAAGAACGTGGCAGTGTGCTTCTGTCAATGTTACAACTTTGGAAACCCTATGGGACAGTTCTACTGTGTCCTATAGGGTCGCTGTGAGTTGGAGTCAATTTGATGGCAATTTTTTTGTTTTGTTTTTTAACTACTTCATAACAGTAACTAGACCAAATAATTGGCCACCATAGCATAGTTGTGTTGGCACATGAAATTAACCATCACCTTTAAGTAACAAATTTTAACAAAGCATATGAATCTTCTTGGTGGTGCAGTGATTAAGTGCTCAGCTGCAGACCTGGAGACTGGCAGTTCAAGCCCACCAGCTCCTACACAGGGGGGAGAGAGAGGGAAGGAAATGTGACAGTGTTTTCATAAAAGATCACAGCCTTGGACCTATATGGGACAGTTCTACTCTGTCCTTCATAGTTGCTATGAGTTGGAATTAACTCTCAGTAGCCAACAGTGGGTATTTCTTTCTTTCTTTCTCTTTCCTCCTTTCTATAATGCATCTTGCTTCATTCCCTCCTGGGGGAGGGAGAGAGGAAGATAGATGTTTACCTTATCAATTTCATTTACAGCTTTATTTTTTCACTTCACATATACCACACATGTGTTCCTTTGCATATTTTTAACCTTTTTATAAATGGTGTCATATTCTAGTCTTCTGCAACTCTTTTCACTGGCATTTTGTTTGTAAGATTCATCTACATGCATATATGTAGCTCTGGTTCATTTATTTTTACTGCTATACAGTATTACATTATATGAATATAGTATAATACAATTCTTTTTTTTTTTTCCTGTGTATTGAACATTTAAATTGTTACCAAATTTTGTGCATTTTGTGGCCATGATAGGTCATATGGTAGGAGTTTTAATTTGGATACCTGTGAACCTAAGCATCTTTCAATAAATTATTTGGCCACTAATGTTTCCCATGGTCAGATTGCTTGTTAAGACTTTTGCCTACTGTTTGCTGATTTATTTCCTTTGCTTATTGATCACTAGACATGCTTCATAAATTCTCAAAGCATATTCCTTATCAGTAGGTTAAGATCGCCCTCTCTCTCTGTCTTCCTCCCCTCCCCCTCTTCCCTCTTCAGTTATTGGTTTATTGGGGGGTCAGAAATGTTCAAAACAAAGTTCTTCCAGTCAGGACAGTCTCTCCACAGGCAGGCCTCTGTCTGCCTGGGCAATGTTGCAAAGTTCTTTAAGGTCTGTTGGTAAGTGCCCACAGAGCTCATCAACTGACCATAAGCCTCAGCCTGAAAGCACTCGCTCTAGCTCCATGGGCCAGCAAACTTGGCTCCGGCGGTAAGTACGTGGAGGCATACCACCTTGCAAGCATGCCTCCTGCACAGATTCAGTCTTCTTTACTTGCTCTGTGGGCTCTCATCTTACTTTATGAAGTTGTGTTTGCTAGCCTTGACATGTACTCATATCCACAAACACACACACACACACACACACTTGGATTTTTGATGATGTAATTCAGAATTTTAGTTTTAAGTTGCTTTATTATACACTTTTTGCAGCATTTTTACCCACTCCTAATTGACGGGGGTACAGTGGCTCTATAAGAACTAGACTGTGAACCACAAGGTCCGTGGTTCAAGCCCGCCAGCCTCTCTTTGGGAGAAATATGAGGCTTTCTGCTTCTGCAAAGATTTAAAGCCTCAGCAACTATGCAGGGTTGCTATGAGTTGGAACCAACTTGACGACACTTAACAACAAGAAATTGATAGATAGGGAACACAGTGACTCTATAGGATAAGTGCTAGACTGCTAATCAGAAGGTTGGCAGTTAGAGCCCACCAGGCACCCTGTGGGAAAGAGATGTTTTCTGCTTCCACAGAGATTTACAGCCTTGAATACTCATTCAGAATTGCTATGAGTCGAAACCAACTCAATGGCACTTAACAACAACAAATTGATATAAATTTCATTATTATTATCATTTTAAGAAATTTTATATGGCTAGCAACAACAACAAATGTATACTTCATCCCTCCCCATTTCCTTAAACCTCTGGCCCACCAAAGCTCAGCAAGGAGAAGAATGGGAATGGCTGCTCCTGTAGAGATTTAGTCTCAGAAACTCTATGGAGCAGTTCTAGCCTGCCATTTAAGGTTGCTCTGAGTCACTGGAGCTGTTACATATATTCTTATGTTTATGTTTTCATGAAATAGCTATGTGGATGAAATGGTTCTTTATCTTGGTAGTGGATATGTGTTTCACCTTTGCATCTGAATGATGATGTCTTAACTGAAGAGCAATTCTAAGTCATTGTCCTTTTTCCTAAAATATCTTGCACAGTTATTTCTCCTCAGAATTCTGTTTTCTAGTTCTAGTTTTGTAGATGAGAAGAAATAGGATGCTTATTTAATTCTTTTCTTGGGACACTAATATAATTTTCCTTTTGGAACTTTACATAAGATTTTCTCCTTGTTTTTGGAATCTCGGGATGTAGGATAAGCCCTGGACTGCTAACCACAAAGTTGGTGGTTCAAACCTACCAGCCACTCCTTGGAAACTTTATACAGGGTCACTATGAGTCAAAACTGACTCAACAGCACTTAACAACTACTTTATATTTGGATTCTGCTATTTTGTATTTAAACATGCGTGTTTTTGTAGTAATCTTATCTACATCTTTCTTCAAATGAGGAAAACTACCTTCTAATAGTTCCTTGAATACCTCTTCCTCTCTCTGCTCCTTTCTATCCTTCTGAAATAGTACTATCTTTTTCTTTTTTTTTTTTAACTACTTCATAACAGTAAATAGACCAAATAATTGGCCACCATCACCTGTAAGTAATACATTTTAACAAAGCTTATGAATCTTCCTTGGTGGTGCAGTGATTAAGTACTCAGCTACTAGCTAGAAGACAGGCAGTTCAAAGCCCACCAGCTCCTGCATACTGTAATGGTGGATGCATGACATTATGCATTTATAAAAACCCATCGAACTGTACAACACTAAGAATGAACCCTAATGTAAGTTATGGACATTCATTAATAGTAATCTGTCAATATTGGTTCATCAATTGCAAGAAATGTACAGCACTAATGTAGATTTTAGTAACAGGAGAAACTGATCTTGGGGAAATGGGAGAACATCGACCATTTATTTTTGGTACAGTGACTCTCTGTGTATTCTTTCCATTTTCTTTTGATACTGTCTGCATCGCTCAATATTTTACCCAAAGAATCCTTTAGTAAATCAAGTTGAGGCATGAGTTTTTTCCTCAGTTGTACCAGCTTGAGAAATGTGTGTTTTCCCTTTTTGGTTTTCTAACTCCAGATCTTTGCGTATTTCATTATAATATTTGACTTTGTCTTCTCAAGCTTCCCTTTGAAATCTTCTGTTCTGCTCTTTTACTTCTCTCGTCTTTCATTTGCTTTAGCTTCTCTATACTGAAGAGCAAGTGTCAGAGTCTCTTCTGACTTCCATTTTGTCTTTCTTTCTTTTCGGACTTTTTAATAACTTGGCCTTCTTTGTGGATGATGTTCTTGATGTCATCCTAGGTTTTCTGGGCCTTGCTATTAGTGTCTAATACATCCATTCTGTCCTTGAGATGGTCTCTAAATTCAGTTGGGATAAATTCAAGGTCATATTTTTGCTCTTGTGGACTTGTTTTAATTTTATTCAACTTTAGCTTGAACTTGCATATGATTAATTAATGGTCTGTTTCATAGTCTGCCCCTGGCCTGGTTTTAGCTGATGATACTGAGCTTTTCACCATCTTTTCCCACAGATGTTATAAATTTGATTCTTGTGTATTCCATCTGATGAGGTCCATGTGTTTAGATGTCTTTTATGATTTTTTAAAGAGGTATTTGCAATGAATAAAACATCATTCTTGCAAAATTCTGTCACACAATATCCAGAATTTCTGTCCTCAATGCCATATCTTCCAACTACCAATCCTTCTTCTTTATTCCAACTTTCACATTCCAGTCTCTAGTAATTACTAATGTATCTTGATTGCATTTTTTATCAATTTCAAAGTAAAGAATTGGCAGAATTTTTAGTTTCATCATCACTGGCTGTAGTGATTGGTGTGTAAATTTGAATAATAGTGGTATTAGCTAGTTTTCCTTCTAGGTGTATGAATATTATCGAATCATAGACAACATTGTACTTCAGTGAAAAAGTTGAAATGTTCTTTTTAAGCATGAATGTGATACCATTTCTCTTCAATTTGATGTTCCTAGCATTGTAAACCACAAGATTTTTCTTCTTCAGAATAGCCCTTCCCAGACCATTTCAGCTCATTAATGCTTAGGATGTCTCTTTATGCATTGTATTTCATTTTTGATGACTTCCATTTTTCCTAGATTCATACTTCACTTTCCTGTTATTAATGGATGTTGGCAGCTGTTTCTTCTCATTTTCAGTTGTGCTCCATCAGCAAATGAAGGTCCTGAAAGTTCCATTCACATTATTATTGTCAACTGTACTTTGAAGATGCAGCTCTTCCCCAGTCATATTTTGAGTGCCTTGTAACCTGAGGGACTCATCTTCTGGTACTAGCAGACACAAGGAGCTCTGGTAGCATAGTGGTTACGAGTTCGGCTGCTAATCTCAAGGTCAGCAGTTTGAAATTACCAGCAGTTCTGTGGGAGAAAGATGAAGCTTTCTGCTCCTGTCAAGATTTACTGCCCCGGAAACCCTATATAGGGTTGCTATGAGTCAGAACCGACTCCACAGCACATCACTACCACCTATTCAATTTATGGGAATCACAAAGACTGTTAGAGCTAGAAGGGCCTTATTACATTTCTCACTGCACTGCACTTGGACCAGAGTGTCAGCTCTTGAGAAGAAAAAGGGGTGGGGGGATTTGAAATGTGTTTTAGAAGCTGAGTTGATAGGACTGAGGGACAGGGACTGACTGAGTGAAGGCAAAGGAGAAGCAGACAACTGGATGACACTACGTTTTTTTATGTTTAGTTGAAGATACCATTCAATGTTTTAGTATATGGTGGGAGTTTGCACTAATCATGAGGCAGATGGAGATCAAGTCAAGAGATCAAAGAAAGTGACTGTAGGTTCATATATCCAGCTGAGTATATACTTTCATATAGTCTCAGCATGGTAAAGAGAGCTGGGAAAATAAATAGGGAGAAAGTGGATTGGAGAATTTGATCAGGTGCAGGCCCTATTGTAGTAGGACTCATGAACGAAGCAAGACAAAGACGAGGGATGTTCAGCTGGTGCGGTTTTTGTTGACTGTCTGCAAAGTGCAAAGTGCTGTGGAGGCCACTGAGACTGAGTGTTAGAAGGTTGGTCTTTTTTCCTGACCAATAAAAGTTATTTTAACTTTGTCCTTTGTATTTATACTGATTTCAAACAATTAGTGTCTGTTTTAATTTTGCTTTTCTCAACATTTATGTTAGATTTTTGTATGTAGTCAAAAATAGTAGTGTTAATTTGTTGCATTTTCTCCCATTTATTAACAAATGCTTCCTCTCCAGAGATTTGATAACTATTTGCTCTTTATGGAATGGCTAACATTAGTTTTTAAGTTGGTTTTGGTTGTTTGTACTTTGTTACATTTTATCAGAAAGTTATACAATTTATAATAAATAGCTCATAGTGCAAGACAAGTTATAGTTAAAAGGAACCTGAGTCTTCTCAAGTAGCTACATGTGTTCTCACTAGAGATAACACATGCCAACTCCACTAGCTATTTTGTTTACCTTTAGAAGCCCAAACAACAAGCATAGAGTATTACAGAACATTCATTCATGCAGTGCATTATCTTTTAAGTTCCTGCTATAATTGAGCTCCGTTCTTAGAATTGTGACCATCACACTGAGGTAAAAAGGATATTAACAACAATAAATAAATCATTTATACACATGCACCCACATATACAGACACTCATTAGAGTGCCTGATACTTGAAGAAAAACAATACAGGGAGATTAGTAATTCATGTTGGGTGTGAATGTGGGAGAGAGATTTGATGTAAGTTGCTCATGAGTCTTCCTAGAGAAGATGGCATTTGAACTATATCTAAATAATCATCTCTGGGGAGAGGGTGCCATGTTAAGGGATTAGCCAGAGGATTCAGTATTTAAGCAGTGAAATCTCAAGATGATAGCAGTAATTCAGGCAGAGAATGGTAGGAAATGAGATCAGATTGATATAAAGAGCTAGGTAATAATAAGACAATGTGGTCACTGCAAAGAAATTTCTGTTTTGTTCTGTGTGATGAGAAATATTTGGAGCATTTTCAACTGGGGAAGGCCATGCTATATTTTATGTTTAAGATGATACTCTAGCTGCTACTTGGAAAATCAGCTATAGTGGAATTCGTTTAGGAGACATTTTCAATATTCCAGGTGAGAGATAATACGATTGGACCTTAGTGTAGACACTGAGGTTGTAAGAAGTAGCCTGAGAGAGGGTTCTTCAGTTCTTTTGGACTTGATTTATAGTATTGACACTGAATGAGGTAAATCAAGTATGACATTTTTTTTTTTTTTTAATAACCAAATATAGTGGAATGCTAGATTTTTTTTTTGGGGGGGGGGGGGTGTAAAAAAAAAAACCTTTGAATCATCGTGGTATCAGGACCAGAATCCATTATATAATAAACAGGGCCCTGGATATACCTGTCTTGTCCACTGCTGAATTCCCACTTGACTGGCACAACAAATTTGGAATCTTGTTTGGGAGTGTCAAGTGTTGACAACTTTCTGGAACAGTCCCATATTGCCGCCTACATTTGGGGAGCCCTCTAGACCAAGGGCCTTCTAGCTCATTCACTCTGTTTTTTAATAGGAAAATTCACTGTGTGTGTTTCCACATACTTCATAGTTTGTTGTCTTTTAGTGGAAGCTAATAGTTTGTAGCTGTGATTTCTAACTGTAATTACAGCTGTTTACAGAACTGAGGTGCCTCTGCTGCTTACATGAAGTATTTCTAATCCAGATAATACACAGAACAACTCTTTGGTGTAGATTTTCTGCATTTCAGAAGATGCCATGGATAAAAGGAGCCCTGGTGGCACAGTGGTTAAAGTGCTGTGCTACTAAACAATAAGTCAGCAGTTTGAGCCCACCAGCCGCTCCACAGGAGAAAGATGTAGCACTCTGGTTCCTGAAAGTTTCTAGACTTGGAAACCCTATGGGGCAATTCTACTCTATCCTTAAAGGGTCAGTGTAAGTCAGAATGGACTCAATGGCAGTAGGTTTTTTATTTTTTTTATTTAATGGGTAAAAGTGGAATGAAAAATAGCTTCTGTAAAAGATACATAGTGGGAAAGAGTTTTTGTGTGTATTTTGAAGGGCATGCCTCATAAGACAGGAAGAAAGGTCTAGGCCCCTCCTGTAACTGTTCTGATGGAAAACTTTTTCTCCTCAGCAGAACCAAAGCCAGAAATCTATCCATGTGTTGACTGCCCTCTGGCCTTCTCCAGTCAACAGTTCCTCAGCCAACATGTTCTACACAGACATCACCTTACCATTGTCTCAATCTTAGGTATGGAAAATCACTCGGAACCAAAGAACCTTGGTCAAGAAGACCAGAAGCCACAACAGCAACAGCTTTCTGACCAAAGCTGCTGGGACGACAAAGCCAAAGGGCAAGTGAAAGAAGACTCCAGTTCCTCATTTGGGAGGATGAGTGAAACGAGGATTGTGAAGACACTTTCTAACCCACTCCTAGAACAGCTACTAAACTCTAGGGAAGGAAATGGGGCAGCAGAAATAGAGCCCAACCTAGCCGAGAGGGCGAACCCTGAGGCAGCTGACAAAGCATTGAAGGGAGTAGAAGTTTCAGGATTTGGAGCAGCTAATTGGGCTGATTGTGAGATTAGCCACAAGTCAGGCCTCCTTATAACAACAACACACTCAGGGGAGAAGTCATTTATGTGCAGGGAGTTTGGGCAAGGTTCTGGCAATAAATCACCATCCCCTATTACACCCCAGAAGATGCACTCGGGAGAGAAGCCCTTTGTGTGCAAGGAATGTGGGAGAGGATTTAGTTGGAAGTCAAACCTCCACCGACACCAGAGGTCACACTCAGGGGAAAAGCGTTTTGTGTGCAATGAGTGTGGACGTCCTTTTACTGAAAAGTCAACCCTCATTGCGCATCAGAGGACGCACTCTGGGGAGAAGCCTTATGTGTGCAGGGAGTGTGGGCGTGGCTTCACACAGCTGTCAATTCTCGTGAAACATCATAGAATACACTCAAAGGACAAGTCCTTTGTGTGCAGGGAGTGCGGGCAGGGCTTCAGGTTGAAGTCAAATCTCCTCAGACACCAGAGGGGACACTCGGGGGTGCAGCGGTTTTTGTGCTCAGACTGTGGGCGAGGCTTCAGCTGTAAGTCCGCTCTTGCCAGACATCACAGGACACACTCAGGGGAGAAACACTTTGTGTGCAGCGAGTGTGGGCAAGGCTTTAGCTATAAGGAAGCCTTCTTCAGACACCAGAGGACACACTCGGGGGAGGAGCAGGAGCTTTTTTTGTGTAGGGAATGTGGGAAAGGCTTTAGCTGTAAGTCCGCTCTCATCAGACACCAGAGAACACACTCAGGAGAGAAGCCCAATGTCTGCAGGGAGTGTGGGCGAAGCTTTATTGAGAAGTCACACCTCACTAGACACCAGAGAACACACTCAGGAGAGAAGCCCTTTGTGTGTAAGAAATGTGGCCGCAGTTTCAGCTTCAATTCATATCTTATCAGACACCAAAGGATACACTCAGAGGAGAAGCCTTTTGTGTGCAGTGAGTGCGGACGAGGCTTTACAGAAAAGTTAACCCTCATTGCACACCAGAGGACACACTCCGGGGAGAAGCCGTATGTGTGCCGGGAGTGTGGGCGAGGCTTTATCCAGATGTCAGTTCTCATCAGGCATCAGAAGATACACTCAGCGGAGAACCCCTTTGTGTGCAGGGAGTGTGGGCAGAACTTCAGACTGAAGTCAGACCTCATTAGACACCAGAGAATACACTCAGGGGAGCAGCAGTTCTTGTGCTCAGAATGTGGGCGCAGCTTTACTCGAAAGTCAGTCCTTATCCTGCACCAGAGAACGCACTCAGGGGAGAAGCCTTATGTGTGCAGGGAGTGTGGGCGAGGCTTTAGCTGTAAGTCAGCCTGCATCAAACATCAGAGGACACACTCAGGAGAGAAGCCCTTTGTGTGTGGGGAGTGTGGGCGAGGCTTCAGTGTAAAGTCAAATCTTGTCACACACCAGAGGATACACTCAGGGGAGAAGCCTTTTGTGTGCAGTGAGTGTGGGCGAGGCTTTACAGAAAAGTTAACCCTCATTGTGCACCAAAGGACACACTCCGGGGAGAAGCCTTACATGTGCCGGGAGTGCGGGCGATGCTTTAGGCAGCTGTCAATCCTCACAAGACACCAGAGGACACACTCGGGGGAGAAGCCCTTTGTGTGCAGGGAGTGTGGGCGAGGCTTCAGTGTAAAGTCAAATCTTGTCACACACCAGAGGACACACTCAGAAATTTTATGTTTTGGGAATGTTGGTGAGGCTTTAGATGTAAGTCAGCCTTTGCCAGACATAGGACATGCTCAGGGCAGAAGCAGTTTTGGTGCAGGGAGTGTAGGGGGGCCTTTAGTTGGAAGTCACATCTCAGTATACATGGGAGGACAAAATTTGGCCACCACCACCCCACCCCAGCACAGAACAGTCTCCTGGCCCTTCATATGCCCTATGAATGTAAAAATGGAATGGGAAGCAGTGGAAAAATGGGGCTTTCCTTAAGTCAAAAAGAGACTCAAATTGTGGCCTAATTTTCCCACACCAATCCCTCACCTTGGTTCATTTTTAAAAACATGACTTTTTTTAAAAGCTGTAAACATCTACCTCATATGTCAGCAAAGGTAATTAGGACTGGAACAGAGAACTCAAATTCAGCCTTTGTTTCCCCAAGAAATTGAACTTAGGAGAAAAATGAGTCTAGAGTCACATTTGTATATTCATTATAGAATCTAAACCTGTGGATAGAGATGAGAGTTCTAGGCATTGGGAGACAGTTCTCTAGAGGCACTGGCAGTGTTAGATTTGTATTGATTTCCCAAGGTTGTTTAGATAGCAGGCAGCCTTAGCAGACATAGATAGTGTCTTCCTCCAAGGCAGAAGGCAGATTTGTTTTTTTGTCTAGAATAATAACCATAATGCCTTTCTGCAGGGCAAAGGTTGGGCAGGTTTGCTGGAAACTCTTGTAACGATTGGGGTTTCCTAAGCATAAGGCATCTTACCTGCGACACATACCCAAGCCTATGTAGCTTCTACCTGGGCCCACCTCTGTGTCACTCCCAAGGGACTTGAGGGCAGACCGGAACCAGAGTGAACAGGAAGCACACCTGTCTTTTGTGCTATGAGTAATAAAGTTCTTTGTCTATAGCTCTGGAGTCTTGTGTCTTCTGCTACTATCCATGAAACTAACAAGCTAGAGTAAAATCTCACACTCTTTAATCAGCTACAATTATTTTTTTAGTTTTATTGAGATAAAATTCCATATCATGCAATTCACCCATTAAAATGCACAATTCAGTGTCTTTTAGTACAGTCATAGGATTGTGCATCCATCACCACAACCACCTTTACAATATATCCATCTCTAAAAATAACAAAAACCTGCACCCCTGAGCTGTCTCCTCAAATCCTCGCATCCACCAGCCCAAAGTAACCAGTAATTTACTTTCTGTCACTAGATTACTCTTTCTCTTAGCATAATGTTTTCAAGGTTCATTCATGTAGGAGTACTTCATTTTTATAGATGAATAATATTCTATTTTCCGGATATAATTTTATTCACCAGTTGATGGGCCTTTTGTTTGTCCTCTTTTTGACTATAAGTGTCCTGGTGTGGTACTTTAGGATAAGCACTGGACTGCTAACCACAAGGTCAGCAGTTCAAACCCACCAGCTGCTACTCAGAAGCTCTATACAGAGTTGCTGTGATTTAGAACCAACTCAACGGCACTTAACAACAACACCTTTTTTACTATGATGAATAATGCTACAGTGAACATTCATGTACAAGTATTATTATGTATAGACATACACTTTTGTTTCAATTGAGTATAAGCAGAATTGATGGATTATAAAGATTCCAGCACTTGTCTGTCAGATTGTTGTACTGTGGTGGCTTGCATATTGCTGAATGTTGGAAGCTATGTAACTGATATTTCACTTGAGTATATTCTACCTGAATTTAGTGATCATCTCAAGAACACATTTGACACATAGAACACTAAACTCAAGACCATAAGAGTTGTGGAATGATATTTAAAAACAAATACATGAAGAAACCAAAAGGTCATTAGTAATACAGCAAAGAAAGAAAAGACCAAAATGTCAAACAAGACTGAAACTTGAAGTAGAATAGCTGAAGTGAAAAGAAAAATGAGGCAAAAGAGCTAAACAAGATTTCAACGGGTGGCTTAAGATGAAGTATTATAATGAAATGTGCAAAGACTTGAAGTTAGAAAACCAAAGAGAAAGAGCATGCTCAGCATTTCTCAAGCTGAAAGGATTGAAGAAAAAAAAAGCCTTGAATTAAAGTATTGGAGGATTCTATGGGCAAAATCTTGAACAATATAGAAAGCATAAAAAAGATGGCAGAAATGCACAAACCATTGTACCAAAAAAGAATTGGTTGATGTTTAACCATTTCAGGAGATAGCATATGCTCAAGACCAATGGTACTGAAGGAAGAAGTCCAAGCTGCACTGGCGGCATTGGTGGCATTGGCGGCATTGGTGAAAAACTAGCCTACAGGAATTGACAGAATACAAATCAAACAGGTGCAGTATGGAGGTACTCACTTGTCTTATGCCAAGAAATTTGGAACACAGCTCTCCAGTGACTAGAGAGACCCATATCCATGCCCATTCCAAAGAAAGATGATCCAACAGAATTTGGAAGTTTTTGAACAATATAATTAATAACACACAAGTAAATGTTTGCTGAAGATAATTCAAAAATGCAGCAAAAGGTCAACAGAGAACTGCCAGAAATTCAAGCTGGATTCAGGAAAGGACATGAAACAAATATATCCCATGACTCTTAGCTGAAAGCAGAGAATACCAGAAGGATGTTTGTCTATGTTTCACTGACTCTGCAAAGACTGTGGATCATAACAAATTATGGGTGGCATTTCAAAGAATGAAAATTTGAAACAATTGTGTTTATGTTGACCCTGTACATAGACCAAAAGGCAGTTGTTCACCTGGAACAAGGGAATAATGTGTGGTTTAAAATCAGGAAAGGTGTGCATCAGGTTGGATCCTCTGACCATACTATTCAATCTGTAGGCGGAGCAAGTAATCTGAGAAGGTGGACTATATGAATATGATAAAGCACGCAGTATCAGAAGGGAGACTTACTAACAAACTTGCATGCAGAAAGTGAAAAGGACTTGAAAGACTACAGCCTTCTATGTGGATTACACTGCAACATAAAACAAAATTCCTCACAACGGGACTAGTAAGCAGCATCACAATAAACAAGCAGATTGAAGTTGGCAAGAATTTCCTTTTACTTTGATGCACAATCAATGCTTATGAAAGTAGCAGTCGGGAAATCAAATGACATACTGCATTGGGCAAATCTACTGAAAAAGAAATCTGTAAAGTATTCAAAAGCAAAGATGTCACTTTGAAGACTAAAGTGTGCCGGACCCAACTCATGATATTTTTCAATAACTCCATGTGCATGTGGACGCAGGACAATGAATAAGGAAGACTGGTGAAGATTCTATGCATTTGAATTATGGTGTTGGCATAGAATATTAAATATATCATGGACTGCCAGAAGAATGCACAAATCTGTGTTGGAAGGATTACAGCCAGAATGTTCATAGAAGTGAGGATGGTGAGACATTGTCTCATGTACTTTGGTCTTGTTATCAGGATGAATCTGTCCCTACATAAACACATCAGTAAAGTAAATGAATAAACAATCTGTAAAGCTGAACTATGAAAACAAGTTCATGGGAACCAAAATATGACCTTGAATATATTCCACCTGAATTTAGAGATCATCTGAAGAAAAGATTTGATACATTAATCACATAAGATTAAAGACAATAAGAGTTGTGGGATGACATCAAGAACATCATATAGGAAGAAAGTAAAAAGTCTTTAAGAAGAAAGAAGGAAAAGGTAAAAATGGATGTCAGAAGAGGCACTGAAACTTGCTCTCCAGTGTAGAGATACTAAAGCAAATGGAAGAAATGAGGAGATCCAAGAGCTGAACAGAAAATTCCAAAGGTCAGCTCAAGAAGACAAAGTCAAATATTACAACATAATGTGCAAAGATATGGAGTCAAAAAACCAAAAGGGAAAAACATGCTCAGTGTTTCTTAAGTTGGGGGAACTAAAGAAAAAATTCAAGCCTCGACTTTTGTTATTGAAGGATTCTCTGGACAAATTATTGAATGACACAGAAAGCATCAAATGAAGATGGAAAGAATACACAGAATCACTGTACCAAAAGGAAATGGCTGATGTTCAACCATTTCAAGAGGTATCATATGATCAAGAGCCAATGATACTGAAGGAAGATGTCCAAGGTGCACTGAAGGAATTGGCAAGAACACGACACAAAGAACTGATGGAATAAAAATTGAAGTCTTTCAAGAAAGTGAGACAACACTGGAGGCACTCACTCATCTATGCCAAGAAATCTGGAACACAACTATCTGGCCAACTGATTGGAAGAGATCCATATTTGTGCCAATTCCAAAGAGAGGTGACCCAATGGAATGCAGAAATCATTGGACATTATCTTTGATATCACAGGTGAACAAAGTTTTACTAAAGGTAATACAGAAACTGCTACAATCATACATTGACAGGGGACTACCAGAGGTTCAAGCTGGGTTCAGAAGAGGCTGTTGAATGAGGGATAACATTGTTGATGTTCAATGGATCTTGGCTGAAAGCAGAAAATACCAGAAAGATGTTTACCTGTGCTTTATTGACTACGCAAAGGCTTTTGATTGTGTGAATCAGGAAAAGCTATGGACAACATTGCAAAGTATGAGTATTCCTGAACACATAATTGTGCTCATGAGGAATCTACACAGAAAACAAGAGGCAGTTGTTCAAACAACATGGGAACACTGAATGGTTTAAAATTAAGAAAGGTGTGTGACAGGGTTGTATTCTTTCACCATACTTATACAACCTGTATGCTGAGCAAATAATCCAAGAAGCTGGGTAATATGAAGAAAAACATGGCATCAGGATTGGAGGAAGACTCATTAACAACCTGTGTTATTCAGATGATACAACTTTACTTGCTGAAAGTGAAGAGGACTTAAAATATTTACTGATGAAGATCAAAGACCACAGACTTTGGTGTGTATTGCATCTCAATGTAAAGAAAACTAAAATCCTCACCACTGGACCAATAAACAACATTCTTATCAAAGAAGGAAAGATTGAAGTTGTCAAGGACTTCATTTTTCTTGGCTCAACTATCTACACTCATGGAAGCAGCAGTCAAGAGATCAAATGACATATTGC